GGGAAGGGCTGAGGCTGCGTCCTCGGGTTACCGGGTTCTCCGCAAGCGGGTGCCCGCCCTTGCGCCCGGGATCCCCTCGCCCGGATGACTAACCCCGGCCCGGGCTCTGTGCCAGGTCCACGCGCCGCCTCCGACGGCGAGGTGACACCCCCGCCCCCAGGCTCGCCGCGCACCCCAACCCCTCGGCCCGCTTTCTTTTTCTGCGTAAACACGCCGTGGGGGCCCATCTTCGAGGGCAGCCCGTCGGGGAAACGAGGTGGGCAGGGGAGGGCCTTGAGCGCAGGACGAGGGGAGGGGGCGCTCTGGCCCGCGGGGCTCGGGGAGGGGGTACCCGCCGGGGAGGATCTGGGGTGGGGCTGCCTGGGGCGCGGACTTCCCCAGAGGCGCTAAGGCCCGGGGAGCGAGCTGGATCCCGCCCCAGCTCCGAACACTGGGGTGCGCTCCTTCCAGAAGACAGAGGATGCGGCTGGGACGACAGTGGGCCACGGAAGAACTAGCCTCACACCCTAACCTTAACCCTAGCCCGCCCCCCGACCCCCAGCCTCGAGCACAGCTAGGGGCACACGGGTCCCCGAGCGCCAGCAGCCGAGGCCAGACCTCATCTCGTCGCGTGGGGAAGTCTCTCGGGGATACAGTCAGGGCTCCAAGGTCGCCCTGCAGGAGCGGTGGCAGCTCTGCAGGGGGCGGGCGCGCGCGGGGGGGCGCGTTAGCCAGGCTGGTCCGTTTCTGCCCAGCTTCCCAGAGAAGATGGTACGTCTCCAACCCCCGGAGGGGCGCACGGGAGCCCCCTCTGGCAGGCGCCGTGGGCTCCAAGCAGATGCCACTCGAGTCTGTTAAGGATTTTTTCCACTTGGCCGAGATCATAAGGAAACGGGTGCGTATACATGTCACTGGCCGGCGTGGACTGGCGGGGTGGGGAGCGCGGGAGCGCGAGATGGGGATCTGTCACTGTCGCCACCTTTTCCGCTTATTCAGTTACCAAGCATGCGGAGGGTGGGTCCAAAATATCGCTGAGTGGTGAACTTTTTTTTTAAATAACACCCTTTCCCATCCCCCCCACCCCCCATGGGTGACCATAGCACGACGCACCAGGAGGCGGCGCTGTTGAACTCTACACAAAGCTGAAGAAATTGCAAACGTCCAAACTTGTGCTGAAAGGGTTAAGAGGTTGGAAACCAGGAGGCCTTGGCCCGGGGCCTGCAGCTGCGCTCCAAGAAGCCCCTGGGATCCCTAGGCCCACCGACGGAGGTCTCGCCTCCCGGCAAGAGCAGCAGAGTGTGGCGGGGACCTCAGGAGAGAAAGACAAGTACCTGTTGCCTGGACCTACTGACCTGCAGTGACCAAGGGAGTGGGGCATGGACACTCTGAAAGCCCAAGGGGGTAGGTACGTTGGTCCCTGCCTGCACTCCTTGATGCCTGGAGCCCAGAGCTGGCACCAGCAGAGCCTTCGGAATGTCCCACCGAGCCGCTGCCAGGCCCTGGGAAAGCTGCCCCAGCTCCCTCACAGAAACTGGAGGAACAGGTCTGAAGCTCCCCAAACAGGTCTGAAGCTCCCCGAACAGGGAGCCTGCCCCTCTGGGAAGAGGAGGGGACGATTGGAGATTGGAGAGCAGATCGGAGAGCCCGGCTGTCCCCCTTGGGAGCAGGGCGGGCGCTGGCCTGACATCTGCTGGCTGCCTGGGCTGAGTCAGGGGTTATGACTCCGGTGCACAGCATGCCCACTGGAGGCTGCCTCGGGTGCAGCCAGCCCTGGGGCATGGCCTGCAGATGTGGGCTGGAACCCACTGGGACACTGCTGAAAGATCTCAGAAAGGGGGCATTGTCTGGGTGTGTGAGACAAGAGAGGGGACAGGACACCCTGGTTCCTGACAAAGGATGAATGGACACACCACTTGGCCTTTCCCATCCCTCAGTCTCTACCTCTGGCCCTCAACACACATCGTCCTGCCGTCTGGGGCAATCCTTGTCAATCCTTGCCCCCCTCCAGCCATCACTTTGAGGCTTTTTTGCATGCTTGAAACTACCCCCATCTTCTCCATACTCCTGCACAAGATGGGCCACTCTCCTCTAGCTCTGTGTGGGTGACACAGCAGCTCCCTCTCCTTGGCCAGACCCTGAGTCCGCCACCCTCACCAGGGCTCACCAGCCCAGGCCTGTTTTACTGGAAGAACCCCTTAAAGAACACGGGCTGTCTCCTAAATACCGAAGCCAAGAACCTGCCTTCAGCCTTCACCTTTCTAGACACCTCTGTGCGTGCTGTTTGTGCTCTTGAGTCCCTCACTGTTCTCGAGTCCCTTCCTCCTGTGTCTTCTGAACTATCTGTCCACCCGCCCCTCCTTTTCTCTTCCTGCCGGGGCCGCCCCTTCCACCCTTCTGCCCCACGAGGGAGGCCAGTCCTCAGGGTTCTGCCCGTGGCCTTCGCCTGTCTCTTTACATCCCGCCCTTTGTCAAATTAACCCGTCCTCCTCGTAATGATATCGATGTCAAAGCAGACTGGGAGTGGGCACCCAGAGGGGACCCTCGAACTATCCTTTCCTGTATAAAATTTGAGTCACCCCGTGTGAAATCATCACCTTCAGGCTTCATCTGTTTCTCTGTCTTGTCCTTGCCCGTAGCACCGCTCCTCTAAGAAAACTCTTTTCCTGGCTTCTTTCCTTTTTTTTTAAGTATGTCTTTATTGATTTCAGAGAGAGGAAGGGAGAGGGGGAGAGAGAGAAACATCAATGATGAGAGTCATTGATCGGCTGCCTCCTGTAGGCCCCCTATTAGGGAGCGAGCCCGCAGCCCGGGCATGTGCCCTGACCGGGAACCGCACCTCAATCTTTGGGATCATAGACTGATGCTCAACTGCTGAGCCACGCCAGCAGGGCCTGGTTTCTTTTCTTTCTGGACCTTCACCCCTGCTGACAGCACCTGGGGCCTCACACCCCTCAGAGTGCCCAGGCCCTGCTGAGGGGGCCCAAGCTCTTTCCACTCCCTCCCCACTCAGGCCAGCCATGCTGAAAATGCTCGCTCACTCTGCTCTGCTCGGGGGGGCCACGAAAGAGGAAATTTGCAGTCAAGGGTCTGGGCTGGGGTTTGGACCCGGTATCCCTCCCTACTCACAAGTTTCAAAGCCTGGTGTCCCCTGGTCTCTACAGATGCTGAAAGTCCTAAGAAGACGGGGTCCTGCTGACTGTGGGAGAAGTGCCTCATCCTGTCTCACCTTCCTTCCAGAGCTCCTGCCTTTTCCTCTGCCAGGAACACTTTTGTTTTGGCCTCTGGTCCATCTATTAAAACCTGACCCTTCTTTCAGGGCACAGCTGGCATTCTGCACCATTTGAAAGGGTTTCTCCGTAACCAAACCAGAACTATCTCTCTGAAATTGTAGGACTTCCTTTCAACACTTTAGCACTTACCACACCGTCCCCGCTTCATGTCATCACATACTATTGCCCTTTGCTAGACGTATAATCTAACTTTTTGGGGGGGGGGCAGGTGTTGCTCTTATACATCTTTGTATCCCCCTCCCCCCCCAGCATGTCGTGTGCATAGATGGTGCTCCGGAGTTATTTGGGCACCCGTTGTATATCATTTTCTGTGCTCTCCTTCAGCGTGGTTTTCTCATGTTAACCTGCAAACACAGGATGGAGGACCTCCGAGCCTCAGAGGTAGGAGTGTGGGCTTTGGAGCCAACTTGGCAGGATTTGAGTCCCAGCTCCAGCATTTATAAGTTGTGTCCTATTTGACAAGTGCCCCAGCCTCTCTGTGCCTCAGTTTCCTCAACTGCGTGATGGGGATTCTAATAGTCACCCCTTCAAAGTGTTATTACAAGGGTTAAATGAGTTGCACATGTAAAGCATTTAGAACAGTTGAGCCATGGGAAACTCTCGGCAAATTTTATCTAAAAAAGGGTACAGTTGGGTCCCTAGGATTTGAATTCAGCCACTGATTGTGTTCAGTACCCAGCACAGTTCCTGTCCCTAGTGGAGACTCAGTAAATGTCTGTTGATAAAATTTAGGTCAGCTGCACATTTTTACCAATAATAACAATAAGGAACTGTGAAAAAAAAAAAACAAAACAAGACAAA